AGTCCGGTTTCAAACAGTCCGACATTGCTTATACTTAGAAATAGATTTCATGACAAATAGATTAATTTATTTATTGCATTTTCATTTGAAGTTAATAAGTTTATTAATATTGAAACAAGTCTTAGTTCATTCAGTGAAAATTAATCAAGATTTGTCCTAAATGATAGTTGGATGAGTTAGTGCTATTTTTTGCCAACCTTCGTAATAGGAAATCCCATTTATACTTCTACTATACTATAATTAGTATTCCTAATATCCTAAGTTTCAACTGATCATTTAGTTAATTGTAATACTCTTGTAAATTTTAAATTTTGATTACTAAATTTATTATATAAAATGAAAGTTAAGCAAGTTTTGTCTCAGTTTATAATTGGATGGGTGATAGAACTAACGATTAGTAATAATTAATATATATGGCCCAGGATTAATTGTAAACAAATGATAACCGAAACAATAGACTTGAAATAGAATTTAACCAATAGAATTTTATTTCCTTGTTATTTACTTATTCTATTTATATGCGTGTTTTTGTTTCATTTTTATTGTTAAATGGTACACATTTAGAAAATTTTGTAAACTTGACAAACCATGGAGCTTCTTGGCGCAATCTCAAAAAACCGACGCAAATATACAATGAAAATACTGCAATTTTGAAACAAGAAATATAGCGACCAGCATCTAGAAAATCTGTACTTCTTTTGAAAACAAAAACAAAACAAAAAAAAAGAAGCGTGCGTCTTTCGTCCGAGCGGCTAATTTCTTCATTTCTACCGCTGCTGCTACGCAGAGGAGAGAAGAAAAAAAATACGCAGAGAGAGACTCGAGAAACTATTTATAAAATTACAAGGAAAACCGTGCACGAGTGAAAACCCAAAAAGCGATCACGCTTATCACGAAGCTCACACACACACACACTAATTTACACGTTTTACTAAAGTCTTAATATAACCCGAAGTTACTATGCGTAACTCTAATTTTATTGGAAACTATACACGTTTTTTGACATCTAATGTATGATTCTGTCTTAGCAACTGCATGAGTCATGCTTTCAATTATATCATAAAGCTTCAAATTATTGAGAAATGATACTTGCTAATGGATTCACTCCTTTCGAACAGTACTACATTCGTGTGTGTATGTGTAATTTTACGACCTGATCTATTTTAGACTGGAGATTTTTTTATAAATACTAAAACAAACTGGAGTGTTAATATAAATGTTTAAGTGTACTTAACTGTTCTTTGTATATCTATTTATAATGAACAGGAAGCATTATAATTTCTTTATTAATAAGAAACATAATTTACTATATACTTTAAACGTCGAAATAAAATGTGTTAAATTAAGATTTGACAGTTTGCTAAAGTTAACGAACTTGGATTGGTAACAGGTAGCATCTGCCAAGGCACTCTTGTAGAACGGAGACGATTTGCAAAAGTGACAACTCTTAACATCACGTAATATACACTTTTTTTTGAATGACTATCATGAAAAGTGAATTTAGACTACTTTCTGTTTTGCTTATATTTTTCTAATATGCAATACTTGTCTTGAATATTTTTTTTATATTCATGTCAGTAAAAAGAAGATAAATAAATATTATTTGTATGTTAAATTGAGCAATAACAGATTCTTATTGCATTCGAATAGGATTCAAGAAGACCTTGTCCATATCCATATGAAAACTCGACAAGTTTCGAAACTATTACAACATATTAATTTACACATAAAAAAAGTATTTAGCATAACGATTATTAAGTAAATTACAAGTATTATTATAAGTTTACATTTACATAAAAAAAAGGATATAGAATTAAGATAAATTGACGTGGTTTGAAATTCGTATTTTAATTTAGTTTTATTTGTATATATCAGTCTGACTTATTGAATTCATTGTATACAGTTCGCCGGATTTATTTTAAACACATTATTTTATTTTCCCGCATTTAATTGTATTTTATTGGATTCTGCTACCTCAGAAGATCCAATTATTACGTGTTTTTTTTAATATTTTAGTAACGATGTTCTTATTGGGATAATATAAAGTAAATAAAATTAATAGCAGAAATGATCATGTGTTGAAACTTCAGATGTGAGCTTTTAACGTATAACGAAAATCGTCCATTTTTTTTTCTTGTTCGTGCTTCATCTTCGGAATTAATTTCCTACTAGTTAAATATTTTAAAGTGCGGCCTGAATTTATTTTATGGCTAACATTGAAGCCCATATATTTGATATAGCAGCTATTTATAAGTGAGATGTTTACTCATTGCCGCTTTAAACTAATTTTCGCTACATAATAAAACATTTAAACTTGACACGAAGTATCTTTTATAATATACCTTATATATCCGTGCAATGTACAAATGAAAGTAAACAATTTTCAATGAAAGGACGGAGTTTTGGCATTGGCTAAAGAAATGATTTGCAGGTGTATAGTGATGGACGTGGTGAGTGTGGATTTGATGGGATAGTAGTAGTACACGTACCAACGATTTCTTCCTTTTGCGAGTTACTTTGTATTCCCATTAGCCCAAATGGTTTCAAGAAGTAATCCAAGTCCACATTGTTCCTGTTAATTGCGAGCATGAAAGTAATTACTGTCAGCAATCGCAGCGTTACGTTGAGCACATTTAATCACTTGAAGGAAGAGTCGCAACCGAAGAAAAAAAACAAACAACAACAAAAAAAAAGGGAAAAATCACCACGCTCGACGGCTACATCACTTTTCAATCCAGAAATTGTGTTCTGCCACACTTTGTCGCCACATCGGAAAATTTAAAAGAGCACTGAAATATTCTATGTGCTTGTAGCATATACGATGGACGGACGCTATTTTCAGACATAGTAGCATCCAACTGAGAAGTTTAACACTGAAATCCCCACTGTAATACAATTATATCCTCATCTCTCTCACCTATATTATTGTAATATTATAATTATCTCACGGCAAGACACGGTTGCTGCTTACTTTTTACACGAGATGCCACAATAGGAGAAACACTTATAAAATGCATTTAATATAAAATTAACTTGTTACTACTATTACTACTAATTAATTAATTAAAATTTGAATAGTTTAAGTAAACAGATGATTGTTTAAAGTGTGTCGCCGATTTATTTTCGTAATATTTTATAAATAATATATATTGTATATTTTCGAAGTGCACTAAGTGTTATTAGTTTATTATTCGAACGACAGACTGGAATTTCCTTTGATGAAACAGATGATGAAGTGACAAAATGCAATCACCGCAGCATTATGTATTTTGACAATTTCGACGGGAACAGACGAAAATAACACAACGGGCAGCAATGGAATTATTACACCGTTACATGAACGTGATCTTTCCACTGAATTACACGTATCTAAATATAATATTACTTTAGTCTACTTATACCTATATCACAGCTAAAATTATCCCTCGTTCCGTTTTGCATTTCGTATTTCCCGCTCGACGCCGCACGCTGACGTCACGACGTCGTCGCACATAAATTTCATCACTTAAATTATTATATTCAAACTAACGGTGATAAATGAAGTCGCCCGCACGAAATTATACATGTAGAATATAAATTATCCTTTGCCAGATGAGAGAAGTTCACTTCGATTTCTTCGAAAGCCGAAAGAAGTCCTGAAATAAACGTTACTTAATTTTTGTGTTATTACCGAATATTATTATTATTATTGTTGTTCCGCAAATCATTAGAGCACAACATTCGTTTCATAAATTTCTCAAATATACAGGTGCGAAACTCGCTGACGCTTGGATGTTTTCCAGGAAACGCTGAAATTTTCTAAAGCAAACATATCATATCATTTTTTTCTTCATTAACCACTATTGTCTTTCAGCTTATTTGGATTCAAACTCATCAAATCAATTGGATGTATGTACGTTTGGTTATCTAATAATTAGCACTGCATCCAATTTTTTCAGTTGAATCAGTACAACGATCATTTCTAATTTGAATTTAAAAGACTATGATAGACTTTGATAGATCTAAAATTTCAGTTTTTGAATATCCAAAATTGAAGATACATACGATAAGTTACATGTAAATCGAATGTAATAAGTGACAAATACATGTTTTGCTGTAACAAACACGTCTGGCTCAAAACATCATGATGACAACAAACATATGTACGTTTCTCGTGTTTCATGCAAAAATAAACACGGATTAGTTCGGTGATTGCTATAAGATAATGTATAAAATAATATTTCAAAAATAAAATGATACAGTACAATAATCTATAAATATATGAATGTACTCAGTTTATAGATGTACCAAATGTACATAGCCAATCTAAATGGGATCTCAATTTCGTATATAAAAAGCAGAAGTTTATAGCTTTTATATTTAATGTATTATTAAGTTATCCAAAAAACATTATAATTCGCTCAAATAATAATAAAAATGTTCTTTTCATATCCCCATATTAATATAAGTAATAGTCTTGTGTATAAAATTAAAAGATTCTTTTTTTATTTTAATATGATATAAAGAAAATACGCGTTTCTCTACAATGCGGTATCCCCAAACCTTCTCCTAGACGAAGGCAACGGTTGAGAATACTGCTGTCTACTTTTAATAACACTTAATCCAATTTTGCTTATAGTATCCTGGTATTCGGTTCTTCCCGTCAATGCCTTGAAGTACGTATCGAAATTTTCTGGCGCTAAAACCAACACGTTTGTTAATTAAATGCAGCATAAAAAGTACGTCGACATACCAATGGCATAGGAAACTGGAGGACAAGGATCTATTACAGGTCTGTTAAACACTGAATATCTGAAGCTTGTCGGATCTCTGTACGCGTTCGCTAATCCACCTGTACCCTTCACAGGTACACCGACTGGAGATTCAATTGCAGGCATCAGCTTCCTGTATCTCGTGATATTCAAACCTGCAACAACGACGAAAGCACACCTTGACCGTGCACAGTTCATTTTCGGAATGCAATTTTACCTCGCTTCGTGTAATCTATTTGATACGTCGTTTTCAATTTATCGTCATCGGTGTCGCATGGATGATCTAATATTTCGTTAGATAATGTTGCGATCTGCAAAATAATTAAATCCATCAATAATATCCATTAATCCTATTTATAATTTGTAATTAATTTTATCAAAAAATCAATACATTTACTGCTATAAACCCCACTGGATTTCTTCAAAAACAAACTGGAAAATATTAAAAGTTGATTCACCTGTTCATTGAGCTTAATCAATTCTTGGTGGAGTTGCTTTTCCTTTTCAGCGAGTTTTTCATAGCGTTTCAATTGTGGATCGTACAGATGCGCATCGCAATGGCAATATGGTTCAACTAGAGTAGCTACAAAGTAGTTCAAAGGCTTTGTTTTAACCGGTGGTTGAGATGGCCTAAAATAGTTTTTTTTTTATAAGAAAAATAGGTAATTTGTAATTTATTTATATGTACTTCAGCATCAAAGGTTTCGGATATGGCCAAATGTAATCCTTCTTTTGCATCGAAGCAAAAGTGTTGATATCGACTGCCATCTTAACACGTTAATTTAGAATCCTGCAATATGAATTCCTCGTAATTACTACTGTTAATAATTGATGAATTGCACAAACCTGGATTAACTTTAATTATACATGTACTTGTCTAGTATTTCAAGTACCTATCCAATTTGTTGATAATATAATTTCTGGAAGCAGACGTTAATACATACTTTGTCAATTTGTTGAAAACAATGTACAGACAAAAATTTTGCGATAGCCTTGTCAGGAATTGCAAAAAGTTCATCTTGACACCCACACGAAACGGAGAAAAAAAAACAAGTCAAATAAATAAAACCCGAGCGCCCAAGAACGCCTTGATCGTAAATAATTTATGATCATATATATTTTTTTGTTGTTAAAAGTGGATTATTTATTTTCTGGATAAGGCCGTTCTGCCGCTGGATCTTGCTCCGTGCGAGTGCTTCTGATCCCTATATATCATTTTGCCCCATTTATTCAGGCTATCATCGCCGTTGACGTGTTCCTTATTGAAAGGATTCCAACTAAGTATTCCTCTATTCCCTGACAAAAAAGAAAAGCATGAGCTATATATTTCCATTCTTATACGTAAACACCAATTTTATTATGTCGGACTAAAAAAAAACTAAGTGAGAGAATTCATGCTGATAAATATTAACAATTTTCATTTGCTCTTCTTAATATGGATTTTATCTCTAATTATGAGTTCGCCCAATTTGCTGATAGCATCTTGGTATTCGGTTGTGCCCATGGATATGGCACCACCAATACCCGGTGCTCCAGAACTGTTTTGACCGCCAGAGCCGCCTGAAGATCCGAAACCACCAGCTCCGCCGCTTCCTCCACCGCCACCTACCGCTCCTAATGAATTTAAAAAACGGTGCTCATCGAGCACGTCTATAAAACACGACTAACTTACCACATTTCGTACTGTTCGATATTTTATCAATCTTTGTAGCGTTTGGTAGTGCACCCGGTCTGAACGCAATCGGCTTTTGATTCGGTCTGCAAGGATCGCCCGGCAATCTTACCGGCTCCGAGCATACCGGACCTCCTTTCAAGCCAGCAGCTCTGATTAATTCATCGTAAGGAGCCGATGGATATTCATCTACACAACATACATATTAGTAACTACCCGATAATCTAGTTACTAGTATAAAGAACATACTCAAATGGCAATAATCTACTTCATAAGTAGTTCGTAAACGATCTCGATTAATCCTTGATATTAAATCATCAGGCGCGGTGGTTCTTAATACTTCATACAAAAACGGATATTTCATTCTCAGCTTCTCAAGAAAAACGTTGGGCTGATTGAACCTCTGCGTATCATTTTCTGGCGCAGGTCCTACTCTAGCTGGATACAGCTTAGGGTCCATTAATGGAGCACTCGGGCCCAGTTTCTGGTAGGCGTCCTGTTCAAGAACATTGGGTCCTAACAATTTTTGTTCATCTTCTTGACTGCATTGGCATGCACACATATCACCGTGTCCACCAAATTGCGGTCCATTGTCCGGCCTTAAATGTAATCAAAGTTAATAACAACAGATACAAATATATAATGTTGAACTACTTCAATCCAAAGGATCGAACATATGGCCACAGGAAATCCTTTCTGTACGTTGTCACAAATTGATCCATAATTTTGTAATTATTTTAATTAGAAGAACACTGAGAATTTTGATATAAAATCTAATGATTATATGAACGTTTCACATAATTTCGAATTATCTGAAGTTTGACTTTCTACAACATGTAAACTGAGCATCTTCGATTTTTTTTTCTAATTGATAGAAATCATTATTAAAATAAATATTTAATTCATTATAAAAACTATACCTTCAAACATAGTTTTCCCGTCTAAATAGTTATAAAATAACTATAAATCATTTTGTTAATAGGTTTAATTATTGTTGCACGTAGCAAAAGTATTCTTTTATTTCTATGTTCTATATTAAACTTAGTTTATACAAAACGAATTTTTGTTTGCAAAATGTATCAACGCTAATACATTAGAACCTCGTTTAACGAGTTTAATCCGTATAGTGAAAAGTTTTCAAAAATACACATAAAAAGTTTAAAAAATGATGTCTTCTCTTCTCATCGTCACTCGTTATGCGAAACGTCGGTCGTTAAGCGAGTCATTTTTCTTACTATTCATTTTACTCGTTAAGCGAGGTTACACTGTGTATAAAACATTTTAACCTTCAGATCAATGAACTAACATCTTCACATCCGTATCAGAACTTCCTATATAAATCTAGAGAAAGAAAGAAGTTATTTCGAAAGAATCTTTAAAAAATATTGTTATTATTTATTAGAAACCAATTTATATAGTAATAATACTATTTTACAAATACAAAGCAAATACAATCATAAAAGCTAATCGATTTTTTTCTAAAATATACAATTTATTATACTTGAACTTTTAGCAACTTTTATTTATAAATAAATATGTAAGATCTGTAGGAAATATAATGAAAAGTTTTCGAGTTTTCATATTTTATAATACAAAATCTATTACAATTTCAATTTATTTTTCATTATTATTTTGATTTTTTATGATTTTTAAAGAAATTAAATTTATGTTTTATAACAATAATGATTAGTTTACTAACTAATTACTTAATATGTATACTTGATCATTGCATCAATTCTGTAATATGTTTAAAAAACAAATTTTATATTGTTTTTTATTATGAATTAAATTTTTAGATTTTTCTTCTGCATCCAATTGAAAAATAATATTTTCAAAATACAATCACAGAAATATTTACAATTTGTTAAAATGTTCAAATTTCATATATTTTAGTGTATTAAAATTTGATTATCTCTTATTTACCCTCATTTAATTAGAAAACATATTAGATATTATAGGGAAAAACTTAGTTTTTTATTTGTACAATAAATTTTACTTTATTATTAAAAAAAACATGTACGAAATTATGCGAGGTTCTCGTTAAGCGAGGTTCCACTATATATAGAAAAATTGGAACGCCTCAGGTATATGTGAAAGAAGTTGCATAAGCGTAAAATTAAACTGTTTCTTTGATGTTTTCACAATAATTATATTTCTAAATTAAATTTTGAACATAAATATATGCGTTTTACATAATAAAAGGAATATTGTTGTGTTTAAAATGATTTAGGAAATTTTGTCTGTTTGGCAATTATTGACATATGAAGTGACATTTGCTACCATTTGCTGTTTGCTACTTGTAAACATTTGTCAACACGTATGTTAGATTTTTGAGTGCGAATCAAGTAATAATATGGCAGAATTAGAAGAAGTTCCCACTGACGAATTACTATTATTTCATGATTTTCCGACAACACATAATACTACAGCTTCTGCTATACCACAGTATATAAACACAGACACTGCTAATATACCAAATTATGATGAGTTTGCTGAAGGAAAAGGCAATTCTAATGACTCAAATGATAGCATAGGTAAGTTAAGAGTTCTTCAATTATTGGATTGTTTTTAATACTTTTGCAGATCAACCAAATGCAACGAAATCATTTTGGACAATGGAATATTTCCAACAGTTTTTCAATGTGGATACAAGGGATGTGCATATGAGAATAATAGGATCAATTCTGCCAACGAATAACAGCACACTGAGGACTGAAATGAGGGAAAGACCAGATCTGTATGGACCATTTTGGATATGCATCACGTTGATCTTTGCAATCGCTGTCAGTGGTAATATTGCTGATTATCTTCAGTACACGAAAGCGGAATGGAAGTACGACTTTCACATTGTCACTTATGCAGCGACTGCCATATTCATGTACATAACTTTGATTCCATTATGCCTATGGGCTACAATGAAATGGAGCATTAAGAGCATCAATATCGATGATTTCCCAGAGCAGATGCCAAATGTATTAGAATTAATATGCATTTACGGTTACTCCCTATTCATTTACATTCCAGCTTCAGTTCTGTGGACCATACAAGTCAATTGGTTGCAGTGGTTGTTGGTCATGGTATCTGCTATACTTTCAGGCTCTGTGTTACTTCTATCATTATCCAACATTCTTAAATTATCCAAACATAAGATCGTTTTAAGTTTACTTATTGTAGGTTTTCATTTATTACTGGCTGCCGGTTTCATGTTGTACTTCTTCCATGCACCTTCTTCTTCTTCTTCAACAACACTTGTTCCAATTACAATGGACAAAATCATAAATATTCCTAAAAATGTATCAGAGTCACATAAATAAAAAGTGTATTCCTATAGTAATTTCAATAAAATGTATGGGTGCTCCAATATAATTTGAAATATATTATCCTACCGGTGGCAACACTGCATCCATCTGTGAAACTTTTATTATTGTTGGTAATCATCACTATCTTCACTGCATAGCCCAACTATAAATCATAACACTGTGGAAGAGATAAAACTGTGTAAATAATTGAATGTGAAATCTAATACGACTCAGTTAACTGCTGCATTGTTTCATTTTCATAACAATATTTCGTTACAATGGGATGTTGTTATAGTTTTTTCTGCAATGATGATGGCAGCTCACAGGTAACATGATTGTCCCATCTTCTTGTTTTGGTTCACTATTTCAACTGTGTGATTATTTATAGAATGGAGAACCAAATGAACGGACACATCTTCTTGTCAATACAGAAACGAATAATATCAACATTCAAGGAAACAATAGGTGATTATTAACAATTATATTAATGTGGGGTGTGGGTGGCACAAACAAAATATGGAAATGTTTCAGTGATGATTATTTGAATCAGGATGTAAATGCTGCACCGAAGAAGACTGATGAACAATCTGCGCTTAGCAGAATATTGCAAGAAACTGCAACGTAAATTAACATTGTTTTATATATGAAAATATTAATATCTAATTTAAATTTTGTTCTGTTACAGCAATGTCATAGATGTTGCTGCATTGGATGCTCATAATTTGCAGCAACACGAATACTTGGATAGAGTCAAAATGTACAACATGAGAATTCAACAAGTGCTTGCTGCAAACAGACAACCTTACAAGGTTAAAACATTATTGTTGCAGGATGTGTCATCCGCTGATAAGATTCTTGCAGCTGAACCGATTAGTGCAGAGGACTATCATTTTGTATGTGTACATAAAAAAAATTGAAACATTTGTTTAATACAATGTGTATATTTTTAGGTAACCAGCATGGTGTCGAAAGCCTCATTGGCGATTACAGAAATTAAGGTGGAGCATAAAGAGGACTTGGTGGTTCCATTTCGTATACCATGAGTAAAAAATATAAATATTGCAATTATTGGATAGAACTGGTAATCTAAGGAAATGTATAATTTTAATCTTTTATTTTCTTATATAACTATAATTGGGTTACAACCATTTCATTTTTTATCTCAGTTATCTAATTTAAAAAAAAAAACAATAATAATGTGTAAATTGATCATGTTATATTATACAATTCGTTTTAGAGCCTTTACTATTCTTTAAAATAGCATTTGGAAATCTTTCTGTTGAGATGTTGTCGAGGTATTCAAGTTATAATTTATTATTACTTATATATCTGTGTACAGATGCAACAGGAAAAGTTACATTTTTCTCAACGCTATATTTTCTGACAATTTTATGAAACAAAAAAAAAGAAGCGCAAACATTTGATATTATTTGTATATGTAATCGAGCTTTATATTATTATTATTATTATAATACTATTAACGTTTAGTACATTATTTTTGATATACCTCTATATAGTTTGCAAGTGCGTATGTTTAATTGCTTTTGTTTTTAAAATGGTATTTTTGTTACGAGGGACACTATGTAATATTATAATAATTAGGACTAGAACATATAAAGAAAAATCATCAAGTCTATTTCGAAATTCCCATTGAATATAAAGGATCTGTGATATCTAGGTAAATTAGATCAATTGATAATATACACCTAAACCTGGATTTTCAATGTATGTGTAATAGATTTTTATAATTACTTTGCAAAATTTGATTTCATTTTTTCTTTCTTCTTCGATCAGTCTATATATATTTGGTATGTTTATAAAGACTGAAAAAAATATAAATATATTTAACATGTTTTCCTTTCATATTAAATAAATAATATTTAGCAATATTACGATTTTTAATATACAGTGGAACCTCGCTTAACGAGTTTAATCCGTTTTACTCGTATAGTGAAACATGTTCAAAAATACACATAATATGATGTAGCAGGCTGTGGGACTTCTCTTCTTATCGTTAAGAGAAGTTCCAGTGTATTGAAATTTTCAATTGTACATCGAATAAGTCACAAATAACATTTGTTCCGTAATCTTGCTCGTATCTCAAAGCAATTTTCTCGAAAACGAGGGAAACAAGCACACATAATGAGGTCTAGTCTGAGACATGTTGTCAAAGCAAAATATCGCTCGCTCGTATATCAAAACACTCGTATATCGAGGTATCACTGTATATGCAAGTAACTATTGTTTTTTTTTTAATATTTTTAAAGACATGATAGAAATCCTACTGTTTGTGATTCAGTCATATTGAAATTAATTGAATATTAATTTCAAGGATATAAAAATGAATGCATACAGCAAATGTTTATGCACTATTGACCCTTGTGTTTACAAACACGGATATCGTCCACAACAACAAAGAAATATTCCATCGAGAATTTGATGGCAATTCTTAACATTATTCTTTACTTAAATGAACTTGACCATAAAATGTCTCTGTTCTTGTGGCATAGAAATAGAATAACTATAAATGCGATAAATAAGATCAAAAACACGCAATTATGAGTACGTGAATCCGTCTTAACGATGACGACTTCATGTTTGATGCTATATTTAGTGTGTGCCGCTGCGCCTGACAGAACACAGCTGATTGTTTTTATCTGTCAAATAACGAACTTTAATTGGAGCCAAGTTTATCGGCTCTCCTCCACAGTACATACAAAATAAATGTGTTTGAGCTAAAAAAAACTATGTAGTGATCATGTTTCTGGATGGATGTCTGAACTGTTTCGCCAAATGGAGACTGTGGATCCAACCCTTGGCGATCTTGATTTACGCCTTGGCAGCTCTTGTTTTCGTACCTTTGTTTTTAGTCAAGTCCATCCAGAATGGGTTCAACAGAAGAGATCAAGAAATCTTAATCGCCGGTATATTTGCATGGATCGCAATACCGCTCTCCTTGTGGGAGATCATCCTTCATGTAATCCATTACAATCAACCAAAATTGCAGAAGCATATAATTAGGATATTGTGGATGGTGCCAATCTATGCTATAAATGCAGTAAGTTTACTTAAACATCCCATTTTCATGATAAATTTTTTCATTTTCTTTTCAGTGGATTGGCTTGATTTATCCAGAAAACTCCATTTACATGGACTGTGCTCGAGAATGTTATGAGGCATATGTGATCTATAATTTTATGAAATTTTTGTTGAACTACTTGAATATGGAAATGGATTTGGAGATGAGCTTAGAACTCAAGCAGCAAGTAAAACATATATTTCCTTTATGCTGTTTACCAGATTGGGAAATGGGAAGGTAATTATTATTATAATTGGTGTTTGTATTGCATCATTTAAACAATAATTACATTTCTTTTAGAGAATTCATTCATATATGTAAACATGGAATATTGCAATATACAGTTGTAAGACCTATAACAACAGCAATAGCATTGTAAGTATTTTTTCCTTGTTAAACCATTTATTATTAATTACACTCTGAATTTTTAGCATTTGCAAAATGAATGATGTTTATGGAGATGGGGAATTTAAAGGGAACATGGCTTTCCCATACGTATTGGTTGTAAACAATATATCACAGTTTGTGGCCATGTACTGTTTGGTCATGTTCTACAGGGCGAGTTTAGCTGAATTAAAGCCCATGAGACCTTTGCCCAAATTCTTGTGCATAAAAGCTGTTGTGTTCTTCTCTTTCTTGTAAGTATAATTTATTTCATTATTTAAATGCAATTTCAAATACATTTCTTTTTTGGTTCAAGTTAAAAATAAAATTAATCTTGGTAAATACATGATAGAGGCAAAATTTTCTAAATATTATAATAATATTTGTATGAACATTATCTTCTGTGGCGAATACGGATAGATAACAGAATTTGTTTTGGATAATTACGTAATATTTTTTTCAGAAAATTAATAAATATTTCAAATCAAATTTAAAATTATTATCATGTAATTGACCAGTTAGAAAGACACTAATATTTACACTTAATTACGAACATATGTATTTATTCAAACATTACTTTATTTAGAGTTTTAGCAAATTAATATGATTATTGTATATGGATTTATATATTGTTATTATTGATGATAATGAACTGGTATAATTAGTCTCGTATATCTGCGTATAAAAGATAAACAATAACGAAGTTCATGTTAAGATGTAAATAAACGAATCCTTTACGTTATCTGCTATTTTCTCATGAAATTTACAAAATAATGACTTCATTATTATATAAAATATTAATGCTAAATTGTTTGCTATACCTTAAGAATGAATGAGAATGAATTTAAACTACTTTTTCATACACATAAATTTGTTAATGTATAATACTTTTGGAAACACTGATCTAAGATATAAAAATGATGATTATTTTTTTTTGGTTTCAGCCAAGGAGTTTTAATTGCTTTGCTTGTTTATTGTAATCTGATACCAAATCCAGACAACAAGACGGATGATCATGGAAGTATATCTGCACGATTACAGGTTAACATAGAAAGTCTACAAACGAAATCGTATTTTATTTCAATTCTATTCTTTCAGAATTTCTTGATATGCATTGAAATGTGCTTGGCTGCAATCGCGCATCGCTACAGTTTTTCATATAAGCCTTATTTACGTTCGGGATATGACTCGCAATCCTGGATAACGGCATTCCTTGCTATGTGGGATATTTCGGACGTTCAAAGAGACATCACAGAGCATTTAGGAATTGTGGGTAAGTAACTTATTTAATGATTCTAATTTAACACTGTTAGAAATTGCACTATTATACTTGATTTTTGAATGATTGTAGGAAGTTCGATATCAAGACGAATTCGAGGACGCAGTATGTACACTCTAGCTAAAGGCGATGACGAGTGGGCGAATCTAGTTACGAAACCAGCAACGAGTGCTCCAGCTGGAGGTCTTTATCAGAACGATAGCGACGCTCTGCTATCCTATGGAACAATCGAAATGGATGACAACAACGAAGACTACCATGTTAAGAATAGTATTATGACGGAACCAAATATTAAGACATAATAGTTATTGATTCATAGTGATATATTTTTATAAAATAGATATTGGTAATTTATGTTTACTGAATGCTTTATTTAAACAACAACAACAACAATACTTTTTGTCCATTCAGTTTTGTGAAGCTTTTGGAAACGACATAACTAAAAATAACTGTAGTTTACATACTTAACTTAAAAATCGCCAATTTTGGTGCTTATTTGTTTAAAATATAGTTTTTATTTGTAATTTACTGTGATGCTATATGTACATGTTTCTATAAGAATCTATAATAAAGTGTATATTTAAAATTGAAACTTTTTATTTGTGCTGAATACACTCAATCCTCTTTATATACTCTAGATTAGCTAGCAATTAGCTGTTAGTATGGATGATTTGAAGACACAACAGATACTAATGCATTTAGAAATTAACTTATTTTATTTACTTGAATAGAAATGTGCAAAACATCAAGGAAAATTCAATATATATTTTTATAAGTAAATACATATTATCTATTAATATATTAATTAAAACTTTAAAGATTAAGGATTTTTTTACAAATAATATATTTTTTAATTAGTACTATGATTAATAATCTATAATACAATTAATCCATTATTTTGATTTTTAAATACAATAAAAGTGTTTTGAGTGTAGTCTATAACATATTCATTGTGCTGCCACCTCTTGGAAGGTAGTATTAACGTTTGCTGGTATATACAGGGTTGTAATATGTATATATATATATTTTAAGGGTAGAAAGTTCTACGGTCTACTATGGTCGCCTGTATCATGAAAATTTGATACGAAAGGTCGTTGGTTCGATTCCAAAAAAAAAAAAATTGTGGTGACTATTAAAACCCGAAAGGGATAAAAATAGGTATAAATAAAAAAAGTTCTACGGTCTTTTAGTACGTAATATTATCTATTTACAAATTTTCTACACAATAATATATATTATATAAAATATAATCCATTTTCTATGTAATAAATATGTAACTTATAATTTATATTTTTAATGAAAACAATGAAATTATTATTCTCAGAAATTTGCTATAAATTTTGGTTTAATATTTACTTTTATAAGAATTCTTTAAACTTGTATTAAAATTATATTATTACAATATTATAAAATATGAAAAACATAACAATTTGAATGTTTATTTAATAAAGTATGTCTTTTCGTTCATTTAATATGGTTTTTCGGTTGTTAACTAATTTCATTATTTTCCTTTTCGTCTTATGGCCAAAAAAATATTCCACTTATTGCCAAAAGTAATAAAAGAAAAACTCTTTTATTCACATGATCTAATCAATATCTGTTAATAATATATGAAATCATATAAGTAGATTATTAGCATCTGCCTGGCATTGAAATCACCGTATATTAGTTATTAAAAAAATTCATTTTGTTTTTCATTTTCTTATTCAATACTCATTTTATATTTGCAAAGATTCCTGATTTTTCAGATTTATATTTTCCCAGGAATAACATGTCAACAACTTCAGTCTCTATAGTGGAAATAAAACTTACATGATTATTTTACTATAAACGACAATATCTTATTACTATTGTCTATTGTTGTTAATTTCAACATTCACAATCATTTAAAAAATCAACAATTTGGTTTTCTTTTACTAGAAATTATCGTATTGTAATTGATAATTGAATTAACAATTTGAGGATTATAGTCTTATATACGTGATATTGGCTATCTATATTTTGATTTAATATGAAATAATCGTTTAATAAGTTATTGAATGTAGAAATGCTAAGAGATATTCTCTCTGATTAAAAACTGGTATGTCACCTGTACCGAACACATATACATGTATGTATGTATGTATGTATTATATATAATATTTATTTTATGCTTTATTTATAGGCGCCAATCAACACCTGGCTACTTCTTTATCAAAAAATTGATAAAACGGATTATCAATAAATATATCAATATGCGACATGAAATAGATGGGGAATCAAGTAGTGGTGATCTGTGCGTTCTGATTAATCGTTGCGTGCGGATGTTGTAACCACATAAACACTGGGTGCTTCGTTCAAAAATCGGATATACACATTATATATATATAATAATAATACACAGAAATACACACAACAGATACGAGAGAAACCGATCAGTTGAATTATCCGTGACAAAAAGATGGCCGCAAATGGAAATTACGATGAATGCTATGATAACTCGTGGCACATAATACCGCCAGATTACATGAACATGGAGGAAGATTATAGATTCACGTAAGTGCTAACTAATTTTAATGATATTATGGTAGGAATATGAACCGAACGAATGAATGAGAATATAAGGCGAAAACTACCTGTCTTCTGAGTATTTACGCTTATCACCAGCGCACAAATCTCCAAGGTGCATATAAAGACAGGTCCAATACTTTTATGAAAAATACGTGCTTTTTGAGCAAACCGAAGCTGCCTGTTCGATCCTTATGGACAATTAAAGGTAGGCCGGCATGTAAACACTTACTTTTTATTGCCTTTCTCGCCTTTTTTCACTCATTTTCTTTCCTAATTTCTTTAAATTTTATTCGTCGTACTGACCGAACTTTCGAACTTTGAGAAAAACTTTACAAAATGAAAACCTTTCAAAGCAGGTGTTTCATATATTCTTTTTGTTCGTATTACACAAATTATTAATCAAATATTTGAACAATTTTTTTCAAATATCATATTTAAGTTAAGTTTATATCAAGTCTATTTATTTAAAAAGTTTTTGTTTTATAATTAACTAGCAAAGAAAATAAACAATTTTGGTTGTTTTTTAAATATCAAAAATCTTGAAATGCTTAGTTTATTTTGTAAGGCAGTTGCAATAATCATTAATAAAAGTTTGAAATAAGAAACGAAATATTTGTTTGAAATTTTCAAACCGTACTGAATCGAAGTCGCACTATTGCTTTACCTTTGAATTTTACAAATATATTGAATGTGATGAACGTGTAACTTTTAAATTGGCAAAGATAGAGATGAAAGGGAAAATGCCGCAGGATTACAAATATAAGGTGTAGATGATAATCCGACAAATGCAAATTAATGCAACACTGAGAAACGTTTAAAAATGAAGCGATTAGTTGTTGTTAGTACTTAAGGACTTAAGGTCTTAAGAACGGATGTAGATGAGCATTGAATGGTCGAAGTTAAACGGATGTGAATAGTAGCGTAATCTACGGGGGTGGTCTGTCTGTCTGTATGTATGTATGTATGTCGGCTCCACACTGTCTACGCCGCACACACTATTCCGATCTTCCGTTTTGTTACCTGAACCTCCGAAAATGGACACAGGTGCTTCTCTAGGGAATCCTCGCCTCTTCACACATTCACACACAGATAATAACCGAATATCACTTCACATCCTTGGCATAAAAAAATCCTTAACACTTTAGGATTTATTTACACGCGCTATTTAGATCACAAGGAATGTAACGAACGTCGGAAACTGCACCACATCCAATACAAACCTTTCCAAGAATTCTTTCAAATATCACACCGCACCTTAACAGAAGCATAACAGCTAATTATTATTATGTTTATAATAAACTCAACACATTTTTAATTTAATAAAGCAGATATTTTTTTTTATTTCACACTTTTTGTCAAATGCTAAAAGATAGTACGAAAAGTACGATTTAAGTTTATAGTTGTAAAACCCTTAAAGATGTGCTATAAGCCTTCAAAAATTGTTCGTAAGCACGATTAACAGGTTGCTCAGGTATAATGTTCTTTCTAATTTATTGCCTCCTCGATGTTTTGTAAATAGATATTATCAGAAATATTCTTGATGACTTAATACATATTAGTTAGTTATTTGCAAGTTTTGGAAAGATGGGATTTTTTTTTGTAGGTAATAAATCAATGTTTTAAATTGGAGTGATAGTAGACATTGGATGTATTTGTTCCACGTGGAGTTCAAGAAAATTGCGAGTACAAATACAGGCACTGGAAAGGAAAGCCAGTTCGGTTCATTCATACATTCATGCAGTCGTTTTCATTCATTCATAAAGTGTTTACTAGCCGAAATTTTGTGCCTAAAATAGTTTTGTAGTAAGATCGTAGTAATGTCCGGCGGAAAGGACGATAGTACGGTCGATTGAGCGCTTTGTGTCAACTGTACAGGTAACCATGGGGGTACTTTACGCCCTGTGAAAAGTCCGCCGGAAGTAGTGCTTACTCTTCTCAATGTCCATCTACCTCCTCATTCACTATATCCATCTATATATATATATATACACACACCACATACAATAGATAAAAGGGGGATAGGCCTATACTTAGAGAAGGACAGATACTGATTTTGGTTTAACTTTTTCAAGCGTTTCAAAAAAAGCCCTTTTACGCAACGCCCCGTTTTTACAAGCCGCATTTCCTATTGTACCACAATGAAGGTGAGAAATAGGAAGAAGGAGAAAAGATACATACATATATATGTAATAGTAGTTCAGCAAAATTGTATTAATATCATTTTTTAAATACCTATTCAAATTATTTGCAACAAAACAATAATTTTATGGTTGTTTTAATACATGTTACTATTCATATAATATTTTTCAAAATGATTTGAAGAAAAATGACCCGGATTGCGTGCTTGCTACATCAATTTTAAAACTTATGTATTTTTTAATATATTAACCATGTTCGATTTTCTTTATCATCTTTGTTTAAAGCGGACTATACTTTGCAAATATAATTTGTGTTTGCTGTAAATGCAAAACACAAATGTATTGTGTCCAAGCATTATTATAATATAAACAAATATTAAAGGTATAAAGAGACATCCAACAAGTACCCGAATTGATACAAGTAATATAAACAAATATAAAATCACTTCATCGTGTGTGAATTGGAAAACAGATCCTCGTGTTAGTGGTCATTCTAGTTGCATCTTAGTGTTGTTTGTGATCACAAAATTTACAAACTTGTGTTCAGACATGTAATTTGTGTTTCTTTTTTGTGCAAAATTTAATAACACTTACATGTTTCCGAATAAAGAGCCAAAGAATAAAAAAATAACCATAGATATGAAAAGCAAAATCATGAAAAATCGAGACCAAGTTTATATGGGAAAACGTGTTTCCGGAAATTTTGGAACGGATTAAACTCGTTAAGCGAGGTTTATATATATATATCTCACAATATAAATTATTATTTATATAAATATAAAACGTATTTTTTAATCATTTACAATTTGATAATTCTTAATAATTTTGAGTTATTTTTCATATTTGAAGTAAAAGAAATTAACAATTGCTCTATCTAATTTGTATATAATATTTATATATGAATCGAATATCAAATAATACAAATTTAAAAAAATTACTTAAATACTTAACGAAAATCCCATACCCATACAAATTATTAAGTTCTTAATATATGTTTTCCGACGGCAACACGTCGATTTTAAATGTAACTTATTATTTCTTAAATAAGAAAAGAAAACATTGTTTTTTGATGTATAAATCATAATTATCAAATTGTTATTGTTTTCTTTCAGATCATATTTTGGAGTGGATCATGCAGACCCGAATAACTTTAGAAACGATGTTCAATACGCGTAAGTAAATTCAATCATATAAAAAAGAAAAACATGAACTGAATATTATATATTTAAAAATATTGATTGTTTTAACAATAATAATAATTAATTTGATTATTGAATTATTAGATTATTGTAAGTAATTTTTTTTTACTAATAATAATTTGAAAAAATTGCATGTTTATTCTGTTTATTTTATTTATTTCACAAAACAAAAAAAATGGAACTAAAATCAAGTTTTTCATAAATTTTATTTATTTTTAAATTGTCATTCGAATTTCAGCATTTGTATTTATAGTTTGCTGTCAACTATAAGTATAAATTGTTGTGAATCTTATGTGTTTATTAACCGAAGCTGAATATTTTTTATATTTCAAAAACTTAAATTTTATTGAACTGTTGAAATGCGAATATTAGATTATTATATTAAATAAATCTAATCTTAAATGATAAAAAAAAAACTATAGAATTAGATTGAGTTATCGGTTAACGAATAGTTCGGATTTGTATACACCAATTTATATGTATAAATCTAAGCAAAGTTACAATTAAATATTGTTGGTTTTACTGTAAACATCAAGTGGGAAGCACTTAAATGTAAGCATAATGAAATGATAAATAAATGTTGAGAGAAAATAATTCCAATTTGCTAACAGTTTGGATAAAATATTAATTTGTGGTCGGAAAGATAAAAAAATAATATTAGTTTGTGAAATTAATATTTTTTTATTTACCAAGCAATAACTTAATTTATTTATGTAAATCATTAGCTAGAGAAATAGCAAAACTATCTTTTCACTCTTAATTAATGTGACTAGCACTTAAAACTTTAGTTTATTATTTTCATTTAAAAGATAATTAGAAAATTTTGTTTTAAACAATTCACAATAATTTAGAAAATTCAAACGTGTGGGACACGGAAAACATGTTTTCTCTTACACTTCGATAACACGTTTACACACGAAACATATTTCACTAAAAGGAATTATCATAATCTTGGATTAACATGAAAATAATGTGAAATGTCGTGATGTTTGTCGCATAAGTTGGATTGACTTTGGAAATGTAGAAAAATAGTAAAGAAAAAGTGTTTCTAGTATGTGGAGCAGAAACACATAGGGTGTGACGTGAGGCATTGTGTTGCGTGAGTATGTAGTGGTCATCAAAGCACATGAGAGCCCTCATGCCTACCATAAGAGGAACTCTCAACCAATGCGCATTCACGTCCCACGCAAGGCATCAGAATGTGATGATGTCGGGGGCGGGCGCACGACCACGTCCTTGCGCGATCCTAGGCGGCGGCGGCGGAGGCGGCTCTGACGAAGGCAGGAAGAACTAAATTCAATATTAATTAAGCAACCCGCCAGACCTGATTAAAATCAAAGTGTTAATTAAGCTTTTAATAACTCACTTCGCTTATCCGAACATGCTTCCATCATGCACTTTATATTAGTTACGAAACTATACAAACTGTACCATTCAATGTGAATCGCTGGAAAAACAACACAGCCCACACTTATTTATATCTACTTATTATCTAAGTCTTGTGACTTGATTTCGTATCTTTGTATATTTATAGTTTTTAGATTTCAGAAAGCAAATAACACTATTTGTGTAACATTCGAAAAATTATCGATTTTGTTTATTAATTATGAAAATTGAAAATAATTGTTTATTGGAAATTGCTGGAAAACTAATACAAATAAAGAAAATTTATAATTTTTGTTTTGAAGAAAATCATGTAATTATTATTGGTACTGAGTTGATTTTATGCTATGGAATAAAGATTGATTTTTTTTTTTGCTTATTTTCAAGAGCATCTTGTATCTTGAACGAAAGCGTACTCGGGGATTGAATAAGTTAAATAAATAAACTGTGTGAATGTTGAATTGAGAAATGCAAATGTTTTTATTGTATTTGGTGTTATAACCCCTTCGGACAATGGACGAGATGATGGAAAAAGGTCCGGTCTACTCTATATGACTACAATTAAACTGAGTGTTTTTGTAAGTAGTGCTCGAGGTGTCTCTTTTGTATCGAGGGGAGAGAAGGTGGTCGCTCACAGTCTAAACTGGATGTTCAGGTCGATAGCAATGCGGCTTCGCGATCCCATTGGACGCCCTTACTCCACCCCTACACAGACGGGACTCTATTGGTCCGCATTGTGAGAGGCTAGGAGTGCCATCGAGTGAAGAACCACTCTTTAGCACTCTTCAGTGGTCCTCTAGAAGACCTCAAGTACATTCGCGTGTTGTTCCACTCTAGTAGTAGCGTATTCGTAGCGTAGAAATCGCGCACATACGCCAAACATATTCGCGGGTGCAGACTGAAGTGAAACTGTTCTTTTTCTTTGGATACATCACCAATTTTAATGTTTTCGATTAAAAAATAAATAAAAAACAAATTTGTACACCACTAAAAATATACGAGTTGTGTGTGTGAACCCAGTTTTTTGGTAAAGTTTTAAAAGTGGCGGAGGAAAAGGAATCACCTAAGGCCGCCGCCGCCGCCGTCAAGGCAGAGGCCGCAATGCCGACGGCAATCCCGCCGCCTCCAACGCCACCCTTCTTGGCTTGGCCTCCTCTTCTGCTAAGTCCATGGGCTCCGGCGTTTTTACCAGGAGCTTGGTGCCAATCTGCCGCTGCCATAAGGTTAGATGACTGAATCCCATTTGAAAACTTATTAACATTAACGATTTTAAAACAACAAAAAAATCTAATTAGATCGATTATTTTATAAAAATTATCAACAACTTAATAAAAAACATAAAAGAAAAAAAAATACATAAACAATTGACTATATCAAACGATTAGTTAAAAATGTTAAATAAGAATTTAAAAAAAAAAAATATCTAAATTTATTAAAAATAATATAAAAAAAATTGCAAAAAAAAAAACAAAAAAAAGAAATAGTAATTAATTATTTAAAAAAAAATATGTAGAATTGTTTAGTTATTTAATTGTTGATTAATGTAATTATTTTATTTGAAAATAGGCGAAAATATTATATTGGATAATCTAATGTACACCGACGGATTAAATCGGTTTAAAGCGGTAATGTAATGATTTTATAAGGATAAGTCGATTATAAGTGACTAAAAATTAATTTTTGCAATGAAAAATCCATTAAGGTAAAAGATTTGTTTCACCTTATTTGTACAGCAAATAGAATTCATTAGTATTAAAGTATGGTTTACGAGCGCATTGAATGGTCAGGTATGAATACCTCAGGTTTTGGTGTTCGGGTATCATCTCTTGGACGGACAAAGGCGTCCTGCTGTGCAGACACTTGAAGCCTATTATTTGGTCACGTTCGACCACTCAAAAATATACAAGATTAATATTATATAGGTTTCTGGTGTTTTATAGCAGGTTATAAGAGTGAGTAAAGTGTATCCGTTGGTCCTCGAACGTGACTTTTCCTCTTTTTCGGGGCTCTGACTTATAGTCACCTGTACCTGACAGGTACATTTTCAAAAAAAAGTACCTCAATAAACCTGGCTGGCATAAACTAGTTGTAATTCTATTCCGGAAGGTGAGTGGTGGGAGTGAAAAAAAAAAATAGATAACCATGCCATCTTGCCTCGACACCTTCAGAACTATTCTCAACATCGACAAGAACGTCCAGCACGAGCAGCGAAATGTTTCACCTCGGTGACTCTAACTCCGATAGCAAAACGTAGGCAATAATTAAATACTCAAATATGAAATGAAACAAGAAACGAAAAATTCATAACAATTAGGAAGAATTTTACAAGAAAATGGAGTCAAGATTTTTATTAAATATCATTATTTTGTTTACAGGTTGTTGGATAGCATGAAGGCAAGTAGTAGCGTGCATCAGAGGCAACCGGCCAGCTTCGCGATCAGCGATATATTAGATTTGAATGAAAGGACGCAGCATGGATTGGAATCGCCTCCGGAACCGTTATATCCTCCGAACCCGCAGGATCTCACTCCTTGTCACACGTTGCTACCGCCTCCTTCCAGCAGACATTGGGCCCTGCCGACCGAAATAGGTGTGTAGCCATTATTAAAAGAGAATTAAATAGCTGTCGCGAATTGTCCTCTCGCTCCCCCAAAACATTAGGGTGTGTGATCCCGTTTAGGGGATGAATTATAACCGCAGGGATTGGCGGAGGGTTCACGCCTCAAGAAAGCAGCTGGTATCAACTTCAGCTGTTACGACCATTTGTCAACCGCCATTGCTGACATTCCCATCACCTTTTGTTGTCCGCTTCAACAATAGGTGATTGTGTAATTTTCGGGGACCGGTTAAAAAACTGATATCGATTTAATGCATCGCTAATTTGTTTGTGTTATTGTTCGCTCGCAGCCATATCTCAGCACAGCCAGCAGCTCAGCCCAGACAGTACTAGTCCACCAATTTCGGAGCGATCCATCAACGCAGCCGAAAATGCCGTAGGTGGTGGACACAGCGATGATGGGGGAAATCAAACTGATGGCGAAGACTTGGAAGACGATGATGACAGAAGTTTGGAACAGCAACAGTCCGGATCCGGTGCCCACAAGAAACGGAAACGACGAGTGCTCTTCTCCAAAGCTCAGACCTATGAACTGGAGAGACGCTTCCGTCAGCAGCGGTATCTCTCCGCACCGGAACGGGAGCATCTAGCATCCATCATTCGGCTTACACCGACGCAAGTCAAGATTTGGTTCCAGAATCATAGGTAACTATTACAAAATTTTTATTGTTATCGAGGACACGATCTCAATTTTCTATATATATATATTATTTGTCTTTCACCAGATAAGATACGTTTCACGCTCGTTACTGATTTGATTTAATTTGTTTGTCTCAGATACAAGACGAAAAGGGCGCAGCACGAGAAGGGTATGCACGAGCAACAGAACAGCAGTCACATGCCGTCACCGCGGAGGGTCGCCGTTCCCGTCTTGGTACGCGATGGTAAGCCTTGTCACGGAGGTGGTCCAAAACCTGGAGATCACGGCGTTCAGATGCCCGGTTCTCACATGGTGATGCCTTCATACACGCATCCTCTGATGCACGGACAACCTCCTCGCGTCTGGTGGTAACTACATTCCCCCAAAAACCCCAGAAACAACCAAAGCAATCTAAAACAATTTCTCATCCAAAGTACTAAAAGTGAAATTGTTTCGGACATCTGTTGTAAATAGAGAAGAGAATTTATATATATATATATAGAAAAAAAAAAAAGTATATTTAAAATATATTGTAACGAGATTTTTATAAAGTGCAAATGTGATTTACAAGGAAAAGAAAAAAAAGAAAAGAATGTTAATTGTTATTTAGTTTTTTAGTTTATGTAAACTGGACCAACCGCTTCATATGTATATATACACATATATGTATATAATTGTCTATATATATGTATATATACATTCGTTTTTTATCACTACGTGATATACTATTATTATTATTATATATATATTGTTTTATTATCAGCGAATTTGTGGCTTGCTTGTTTTATTAAATAAAATATAGCGGCAACATCCAGATCCGATCTCTCTGTTATTATCATTATTATTATTTTTCATTTAGACAACTTCGATTCCTGCTGGCCAGTTCGTTTTGACGAGTATGCAAATGTAAATAATATGTGTATTAATTTATGTTTCCAACTTGTACATTTTGTAAATATTGAATATAATTTAGAATGAGTGAGATTCGTTTCTTCTTTTTTTTTCGTAGTTCTCTATTCATACCGAATATCGTTGTTCGCTAGATTCAGTCAGCATTGCGTATAACAGCACATATTTGTCAGATTTGTATAGTTAGCAACTATCTGAGAATTCTGGGAAATATCAATAAAACACATTGAAATTACAATTTTGAAGTTTTTTTTTTTAAATTTATTTAATAGATTAAACCACAAAATAATAACAAATTGAAAGTAAGTATAATCCAAATTATATTAGTTAAGAATTTGGAACGTGATTGGAAAATTTCCAAATAAAAATAAACGCGCGATGTATAGTACATATAATACAGCTATCAATTAAATCGATAAAATCAGTGAATTCGATTAAAGTTTTTAGATAGGTGAAATAATGTGTGGGCTGATAAAAAAGGGTAATATGTATTTGCTGCCAGCGACGATAAACTAAATAAATAGCCGAGCTGTAAATGATAACGCACGATATCTTCATGAACTGTTGCTCCTATATATTTTATATAAAGCAAATAATTAAAATGGAATTACCTACGTGTACACAATTTGTGTGTGTTTCTTTTTTTTCCAAAATAAACTTAGTAATAAAAAAAAAGAATGCAGTAATAATCCGCATTACAAGTATCCCAGCACTTCAATAGGTACAATATTTATCGAGTTCGTTTCGATGTGCATGGATTGGTTGCGTATGAAGTATGCAATAATAAGATTATATTTGTTATTATAAGTGGAGATTTGTTTTAATTATATTACTACTACAGGAAGTATATCGTAAATAATTGTTCAAGTACCATATTATAGTACATATACTCATCATAAGGATCCTTTCAAGTGTGCATAAAATATGTGTGTAGCGGATAAATACAATAATAACAACAAAAAAAACTCGCACCCACATCATAATTGCATATATAGTTAAGTTTATTTACAAATTAAGTGAATTGAAATAACTAAGTTTACTCTATAAAATTACATTTGTATAAGAAAAAAAAAATGAAATAAAGTCATCATCATTTTCCATGTATTTAAATAAAATTCACAAAAATTACGTTTTAAGTTTATTGTCAAAATGATGCAATAATGGCGTTCAATAAAGTTTTGTTGCTTTTCTGGAGTACTTCTTGAAATCTAGGGTGTAGTAGCTAATAGCGTTTTTGCTCAATGCTATACATTGAAGACTGAAGCTATTCCTTTCATATAACAACAATATCTCAGGTAGGAAAATGGATTATATGGAAAATGGATAATATACAACCATCACTATAAAACGACTCGATTGAATGACACGAAACTTGAAAATTCTCGTGCAAAATTGAAAACGTCTTTCGTAATTAATTCAAATAATTAAAACGGTGTAAATACTATTGGATTCTATTGTATTTTATTAAGCTATTGGTATTAAATATTTTCGCACAATGTTTGTAGAAGGAAAATCACGATAATATTTATGCAAATAAAAGTGAATAAAAGTGGACTTTACTTTGTGTTGATATAATATTATCAAACCTATTTGCAATCTATATAAATGCATTATTAAATTATATTATCATTTCCAAACCCCAAATACACAATTAAAATAGAAATGCAAAAGTCGCTTGTATTAAAAAAAATGGTAATTTCATTTAAATTGTAAATTATCAATGAATTCCATTAGAAATATATTAATTCACAGGATTTGTATTGAAAAAAAAATCTGTGTAAAAACAGGAAGAACGGGGGACAAATTTTTCGGCAGTAAAATAGCAATTAAGTTATAAATAACGTATAAAGGGGTAAATGTGAAATAGTCAACCCTTCCGCGATGATTATCGCCGAGGGAAATATAGAGCATTACGTGGTGCGTACCAAAAAAAAATATATATACTAGATAATAATAAATCAAGGGCGCTCGGAAACCGCTTCCATAAAAATAATAAGCGGCGCACGTAGCTAATTGCCGGCGTGGAAAGATGATCTGCCGCTAGCTAGTATATATATATATGATGGCAATAGCATTGTGTTTGCGAGGGAGCGAACTCCATGGATGTGATGGCTATGATGATGCTATGTGTGTGTGTGCGCGAGGATGGGGCGTCCTTTTGTGAGCGTCGCTCGGCGCTCCGGCTTCCGGTTCCGGTCGTCCGTCGGAACAAGATTTAACACTCACACACACCGGAACGCCCGTTCCATCGTTCGTTCGTTCGCTCGCTCACATACGCCAAAAACACGCAACACTCTTTGATTGATATAAATGATATTCGAGCGCGCACTCTATCTATACACTCACACACACATACTATACAGATATATATCAATCTTAATAGCCGAGTCAATTATCAACAGTCACGTCCATATTCCACCTTCTATTTAATTACATAACTATAAAGTGTTTTCAAATATAACAATGCTCTATAGTCTTCAATTTTTGTTAAGACACATTTTTAACAATCGTTTGTGGAATTAGTTCTTTTTATATAATTATTTCAAACTTTATCGATACTTTTAAACAACTTTAAAAAAAATTCGTTATCCTTCCTTCAAGATATAACGGATACAATAAATCTTCTACTGCACCACAGAATTAACTCCAATTTACTAATTACTGTCTAACGTTAAACATAAAATAGTACACGATTTCTCATATTTTCGATGACTTTACATAACTAAATCTAAATATAATTAACTTAAAACTAAAAATAATTGAAATATTTATTTATTTTTTTTTTATTAATAAATAGATCATTCAAAGTTCAATCGATTATAATTAATTTTTCTCGAGCGACTACAACACCAGACACTTAACAATTTCATTGTCGAGTTTGTTTAGATTGAAATTATATCAACAAGATGAACGGCCGTCTGCTCAAGGATCACGTCTCTTATATCAACACACAACTAAAACAAAGCACTTCAGAATGCGTTTGCTGAATTGAAAAAAGTACGATCAGTACCAGACAAGCATTAACTTTTTGTATTAAATAAACTCTTAATCATTTTCTTTACATTTTCTACATATTTTGTCATTACTTATATATATTTTTAATAAGATTCATGTACCGAAATCAAAGAGTACTGAACGAATGTAAGCAATGATGTAAATACATACAATTTTCATAATATACAGTATTTCATATACAGTATTTCCTAGTACACTTGCAGAATATCTCATATAAAGTATTTATAGCAAAAATATTAGATTTAAAACAATATACTTGAATTACAAATAATAAATCCAACTACTATAATCTTAGAGTGATAAAATGCATGACAATAACAGTTAATATTTGAATTGAAAACTAATAATTTCTTGATCAAAATATTATATTTAAAAAAAATACAATTAAATTTTCTTATACTAAGAACAATTGAGTACCTGAATTTTCTTAATCTCGGCGCCACAATCCATTTGTACATGGATTAAACTGCAAACATCTAAAGTTTAATGAGAATGTGATTAGAGGTGTATATGGGTCATATCGACGAAATCCGATCATTCGAAATATTTAAACTGGAACGTCTAGTCTAATCTTATTGGTTCAAATCAACAATAGCGCATATTTATTTTATTTTTTTTTATCAGTATCGTTTCTTTCCAAAACTATTTCATAGAGAAATGTATTTTTTTCAATAAAATATCCATTACGAAATCAAGTGCATCGAATTTTTCACGTTATATAACGTGTGGATCAATAAAACGACAAATATTTATACACTGACAGATCCAAAATGAATTCGGTAGAGGTGACGAATATTTACAAGTAAAATCATTTCATTTTGAATTCATTGTTCTATTTTTTGTTTCCAAGTACAAATTTCTCTTTAAAAAAAAAAAAAAATGCCATAACATGAAATTATTTTGTGATCTACGTTGCTTAACGTTTGAAAAAAAATATGTTTCCAAGTATATTTTTAAAAACCTATTACATATTTAGGTATTTTTTATTAAAGAAATATATATAAATAAATTGATGCAAACAGTAGAAATTATCTAAATAAACAAAATTTATTTTCTAATTGTTTCTAATGAAATGGTTACCTTTCTAAGTACTAACTAGGTCAATCACGTTGCTTAACTTAAAAATGTATATACTATTTAAAGCTAGTGAATAAACATTCGTAATAAGTAAGTATATTGGATATTGGATGATTTGTAATAATTGAGGATATCGTTTGGTATTGGGCAGGTGAAAATGAGAGGGTAGTTGATAGCAGTGAATCACTACTAAATCAGCTGTTCCGTTTAACCTTCCTTCCTACCTTCCCCATATATATCAAGCCCGTGTTTGTTCCATCACATCGTTCGCTATTATCGGCTATTAGCAGCACATCTGCCCATTCACATTGTTTCAGCGCTCATCACGCACCAGCTATGTGCTCTGCTTGCTATAGAATACAACATGCGTGTGTCGCAATACGTACCAGTCACAAAAAGCATAAACATACCGAATTAGAATTAGTGAACAACTTAGTAGAAGACCCCCAAGGATTGCGCGCAAATTCATCATTTCATATTTTATATTCAAATTGATTTATAACAGAAATATGGATTAAACGTGCAACTTGATTCCATATAGCAACCAAATACTTTTTTATATATATATAAAAACGTATTTCATATTAGATTAGATCAACTGTGATGTTATTAATATCAGCGGCATTGATCGATATA